GCTTATTTACCTTTCCCCTGCAAACAGGTTCTCACTCTGAAACGTATTCCTTGCATGTTCTGACACAGAAATGCTGAAACAGCCACCACTGCCTCCAGGCCACAGCTGTGCATCCAGCTCCTGCACGGGACAGCAGCCAAGGCATCACACAGCTGGGGGGGGGCCAGCACAACTTCTTTTCCAATAAAAAAGTTACATAATAAACAACTTTCCTTGAGTGCAAACAGGTTCTCACTCTGAAACGTATTCCTTGCATGTTCTGACACAGAAATGCTGAAACAGCCACCACTGCCTCCAGGCCACAGCTGTGCATCCAGCTCCTGCACGGGACAGCAGCCAAGGCATCACACAGCTGGGGGGGGGCCAGCACAACTTCTTTTCCAATAAAAAAGTTACATAATAAACAACTTTCCTTGAGAAATAGTTTGGCTCTGCCCAACACTGACCCCAGAGCTGACAACATGCAAAGTGTCCGTAAATCTATGTCCTGTGCTACAGATTTCATGCCAGTGTTCCTTGAGGCAGATGCTCTTCATCCTCAAGCACAGAGGGGGTCATCAGCTGGAGGCCGTGCTTCAGATTCTCTGGGAGCTCATCATGAACCAGCCAGAGCACTCCTTGCATTTTCACATTCCTCAGGGAATAAACTTCCTTCCTGCAGCCAGGCCAGTGCATTTCAACGACGCAGGGATGGCAACACACCCAGGCACTGCTATGACTGTCTCTGCTCACAGCCATTTGGCTTCATGGAATGAGTCCTCCTTTCCAAGGAGCTCGTCACCAGCTTTCCCCATCGCTCTAGCACAGCCCTGAGGCCCAGCAGCATTGCTAGATAAAAGACTTGACCATGCTTACCATGTGATCTACTCCACAGGCCACATCCATCACCTCACCGGGAACAGTCACCTGCATCAGACATACAAGAACATGTTATTTCTTGAGCTGGTACTTTGCACCTGATATTTCCTGTTTCTCACTCTCCTTCTGCTCAACATGCCAGCTGGTTTCACAGGGAATTGTACCAATGGAAGTGGCAATTTGAAAACCCAGAGAGCAAGATCCAGCACCAGGCATGCTTGTGCACCGAGCTGTGAAATATTCCTCTTTTCCCTTCACAGGAGCTCATAAAGCTCTGGAACGACAGGAAGAGCAGGCTCACTAGCAGACCGTGAGGAGCCTGCAGCCTCAGCCATCTGTTCAGCAACAGAAGCAGCATGACTGAACAGAGCGTAATATCCAGACAGCAAGAAGAGGATCTGCCCAAGCACCACAAGGATTTGCCTCTTCTCTCATCAGCAAGAACTGGAACAAGGCAAAAGCTCAACTCAGCCTGAGGCAGTTTGTGCTTTGATGCTATGAGACCAGCTCCTCACTCCTAAAGTTACAGATCCTTCACTTAAAGCTGACTTCAAACTTGAGGAAAGCAGAGGCTAAAAATGCAAGTTTTTCCTCAGAGCTAAGGGAGAGGACAGCTGGCTAGTTCTGGGCAGAAGGTCACAGACAGGGACCCCGGCACGCTGCCATGGTACTGTCAGACAGGAGCTGTCTGAAGGAGCACAACCCCTATGCCCACACTTGGGGAAACCTGGACATGCCAAGTTTGGTGAATTCAGAAATCCCAGTCAGCCACAGCAGTGTGATTTTAGGCAAATGCTCCAGAGTTGGTCCAGTTTTGTTCATTTTTAAAAGGGGCACAAAGCACACTACAGGAACACATCCACTGCAAGTTCAGACACAGACAGGGACTCCAGGGTGGTCCAACTGACTGTCTCCCTCCTCTCCCACTTGGCCTTCATGGAGACCAGGAACATCTGTTACGCTGAGTGCTGAACGCCAGAGCCAAAGACTCTTCTACAGCGGCTGAGTCTGGCTCCCAGAGCCATCTGAGAGAAGGGAGTGGAACTGGAAGCACTGTGAAACAGCTATGAAAACAGTTCAGTGACTAAAGATCTCCTACTGTAACCTCACAGTCAGTTCAGTGACCCACCACCACAGCTGGAAGGAAGCCCAACACTATGTGGACCTGCTGCCAGTACACCAGACCACTATGTCCAAAATGTTCACCTAATTTAGGTGAATAATGAAAGTCTTCTGGGACAGATGACCAATACTGGTGGTTTTCTTTGCAGCATGTACAAAAGTGAAGCACCATGGGAGAGAAGAGGCAATAACGGCGGCAGATAAGACAACTATGGAGAGGCAGGAGATGAGAACAGTTCAGATGTGATGGCACAGGACCAGTTGCTATTATGGGATCCAAAAATCATTGCTGGCATAGCAGACTAAAATATTTGCTGAATATCTCCATATAAGGACCTCTGGAAAACAAAGCACTTCTACAGTCATCTTAGGTTTCCACTTCTTTAAGAATTACTTGACAAAACCACAGAGCAAATGATGGTCCTTGTCCTCGGGATAAAAGAAACTAGCTAAAGAGTAGACTCTTGGCCTTAATACCACCATCCTTACCCTCCATGGGAAATACTGGTCTTCCATTCTTCCTGTTCCTAGGCATCCTCTTAGATTCTTGCCCCATACAAACAACTCTCCTCTGTCTATACAGGAGAAAAAAATTGAAAAGAGAGTCATTAAAAAGGAAAAATTCTATTTGTGATGCTGGCAAGTGTGGCTACAGTGTTTCTGTGAGTAAAGAGGATTATATAAGCAGTATGACAAGCACCAAATTTACTTCAAGGTACAATAAATGTACTTGTGCTTGGGGAAAATGATGCCTAATGAGCAGGTCAAGCAACGAGTTCTGTGCATAAGTCTTTGTTTACCCCTCTTACAGCCCTGGCTTTGGAATTTTATTTGAATAAAGAGATTCCAGGGAATCACTGGTGAAGTGAATCATTTGTGCTGGAAATTAAGACAATTGCAGCTGATCCATATCAGCTATCTGCACAGCAAATCCCGTAAGCAAGTCAGTGAGATCTGTCCCAAGCCATCACCTGGGGATTATTTGGCTACCTGATAGAAGTGCCCTTCTAATGACAGCTGGGAAAAGCAAAAACTGTGTTCCACAGAGTTGGACAGTTTTAGGCTCCTCAGGAAAACATGCAGATCTCGGAAGAATTCAGATGAGCCCCAGAGCAGAGGCAATCCAAACACAATCTATAACGTCAGTACAACTCAATCAGAACACGGTTTCTAACACTCCTGAACACCAGGAGCAGCCAAGCTCCAAGCAGCGTGCAAACAGACCGACAGTGGCACACACAGCTTGCCCAGAAGGACAAGGCCCTGGCACTGGGCCCTCACCCCAGACACGGCCTGCGGCTCTCGGCCTTGCTGCTCTCGGCCTTGCTGCTCTCTGCTGCTCGATGGCACCTGACTCTGGAACACCAAACCCTCCACAGGCTGGGACGCTGCACTGGGCACACAGCACACTGTGCTCCTTCGCATATTAAGCGCCTGGGTCTACCCACCTCACCTGCTAACTCAGCTGGCCAGAAGAGCCAAGAAACCCTGACATCTAGTTCCATTTAGACTCAGTTTTAATTCGTTCACTTATCATTCCTGCTGCTAAAGTGCAGCTGACTGACTCATTCTGTACAGGGAAATGAAAAAACCTTCCAGGTTTCCTGTTTGAGAGATGTATTTTGTTTGCTTTAGACAAATAACACTTTCTTAATTACAGCACAAGTTAGCTCAGTACATATGCCAGAAGACATGGTGACACCTGTGAATGTGCTGCCCGCTCCCCCTGCATTCCAGTGTGCCTTAGTTTCAACAAAGGTGGGTGTTTGTATTTTTTCCTTTGTTTCTTTCTTTTCTTTTCTGCCCATAGCACAGCAATGTGACTTCTCCATGACAGCATGATGAAAAACTTACTTGTAAGTGCCGCAAACTGGCTGAGCCCACAGCGAACATGAGCGACACAGATGTCCGAACTGAAGTCTGACCAGCCGAAAAGGCTCGGTGGGATCATCTCTGGCACTGAGGTCTCTGTTAGGTTCGGTCCTTTCCCAAGAATTCCATATCCCCAGACAAAAACATTGCCTTCTTCTGTATTATATTAAGAACATATACTGTAAGAAAGTCTGTGTTTGTGAAATTTATGCCATGACCAAGAGTTAATCAGAACCAAATGTTCCTTTCTCCCAGAGCAGTCTAGCACCTTTTGATTATTTAAAATCTGCAAACAATGCATTCCCATCCAAATGCTTCAGGTTTTTTCCTGAGCTGTGCAAGCTTCCCAGGCCAAAAGCGTGGGCTGGATAGAATACTTCAGCTTATGGACTGATGGGACAGAGGTTGAGGGCTTGTTATCGTGGCTTTCTCCTCTGAGGCATGCCCAATCCAGGAGGAGGCTCCTCACTCTGGCTTAAGCTGGGAAATGCAGCAGTTGGACAGCGTAAGACAGAGCAAGTGTCTGTGTTGGCTACCTCTGTTCCCTTCATACCAGAAGCTCAAATGTCATCACAACCACCACATCACAAATACATCTTCCTCCAGATAATCCCCTGCCTTGATCCTTCACTTGAGAGACCCTCTGGCTGTGCTCCCCAGCCACTGACAACCCAAACAACAGTCACTAAGAACCTGCTGCAGTTTCACTGCTCTTAGAACTTTCTGTTTCCACCCTAGTTTATCAAGACATATATACACGTCAGATTCCTATGGAGTCTGAAGGGCTCCTCCTTCTCTCAAGGGTTGCCTTACTTCCTCCCTACACCCACAGTCATCATTGGCCACACATGGCCCGTGAGACCAGCAAAAGGAGACCAAAACAGCAAACAGCAGCCATGCTCTTGTTCTAGTCTGCAGAAGCACTCTTAACAGCCCTCACTGGAAACAATGCACTAATGAAAACAACTCCTCTAATACATTCTTAAATCACAGGTTTCTCAGTCTCACAGCTTTCCCCATTTCCAGAAAGCAAGATGCTTGTTCTATGATGTTACAAACCACCTACAGCATGGCCCTGCACTAAAGAGGATGGTCCAAGAAGTGAACTTGCCTGTTAGCACAACGTTGCCAGTCCCTCCACAGGCAGCCTCCTTTATCTTCCCAATCTTGAATGGCAAATGTCGTGGCACATTCACCTGTATGTGGTTGCAGGAGAGTTGTCAGAGACAAGGTAAACTGCAAACTAGCCATACATTTTTAACTTGTCCTCTAGCTCTGGCTAGAGCTTACATACACTGGATTCCTGATACAACCTTCATTGCCTGAATAACAGAATGAGAGCAAGTTCCAAAATTTATAGAAAAACTACATGAAATTCATTCAGGTGAGGACAAGGTGGAAAAAGTTACCCTCTGGAAAGCTTACATGCATGGCAACAAAGCTGGGAATTCCTAATGTCATCTTCTATCCCTGACTCTCCCTGTCAGACACAAGGCAAGAGGAAAGCACGGCTGCAAGTTTTCACGATGGACTAGATCACTGAAATTAAGTGAAATTGCAATGGCATTTTTGAACAAACTAGGGAAAAATCACTTGAAGAAAATCACTTTTATACAGTCCAACACAACAGAAACCTACACAATTTGACACATGTAAACAGGGATCTCTGATTTCACAGCTCTTTCACACCATGTTTTGGACTTTATCTATATTGCAGGTAAGGCTCCTGATTTTGGCAAACATGCCATTCATCCATTTCAGACCACTCTGACCTCCATGGACCACCCAGCCAGGAAACTACTACACTGCATAACCTGATCACTGCTTTCAGGCCTTACAGGTCTGTATTTAGCCCTACACCACAGGTACCTCAGGAAAGGAATGGGAAACTAAGGTTTCTAAAATTTTGCTAAAGCCCTTCTAATGCAATTGTCTGCTTAGCCTTCTACCAAGTATTAATTAATTCCCTAACTCCATTTCCTAAACTAACTGTTAAGATGAGGTTTTTTGCATAATTACCTCAGTACTGTAATGCCTGGCATGAAGTCAGCACTGTATTTCTGCCCCACCTAAGTTTGTGCCAAAAAAACTTTTATCTGTGAGACACTGGAATTTGTTTAAGACTCAGTTATAAACCTACTATGGATATTCATGAAAAATTCACTAATGTACAAGCTGACTGGAAGCAACTTCCAAAGGCCACCTGGACCAGCACCATGCTAAAAGTAGGACTACACAAACCCCTAGATTAGACTAATCCCTGTCCTGAAACTAGCACAAGCACTTGAGCTGGGTCTCAATTTGGGACAGTCCATGGGATGGAGAAAGGAGAACATGGGGTTCTTAGAACAGACTAACAAACTGGGGTGAGATGACACAAGCCTTTGCCTATCAAAGCTGGGAAACAGTGCCCTAAAACTACACAAACATTGTCAGCTTGGTTTTGTAAGCACAGGTAAAAGCAGCTTGCTGGTGGTGTTAGTTTATATTGCTTTATCCTGCTATCAGAAGAAACCAGAACAGGAACAAGTGTGTAATGTTTACCTCTGTGCACAGCAGCTGAACTGAAACACATAAAAGCACCCCCAGGCCAACTGACCTGTGTGGTATCTGTGACAGATGCCAACTGCAAGTACTCCGAATTTCCCCACCCAAAGACATCTCCTTCATCTGAAACAGCCAGACAGCAGTCCCCACAGGAAGAGACCTGGATAATGTTTACTCCAGCAATGTCACCACGTAGCTTAGTAGGAACACTGGTGATATTGTAGTGTCCAAGACCTGAATGGAAAAAAGGTAGAGATGAAGAAATTTTTTTTCTAGACACACTTTTAATACCTGCATAGGACCATTCTGTCATGTTCTAACCAAATCACCCTTCCTCCAAAAGAAATCATTCTGTCCATACTGCTTAACTCCCAGCTTCAATGGACAAGCAGCCACAAACATCAATTCCACTAGCCAAAGTTACCTCTCTGAAGTACGCAACAACTTTATACAATCACACCTGGAAAAGTCTCATCTTTTTTGTCTGCATGGACCAAAGTGTTCAAAGAACAGTAACCAAGTCAGGCAGATAGCTCAACAGAGGTGAATTTTCACAGACCAGCTGCTTCCTGTCTTCTGCCAGGAGAGCCACAAGTGGCAGCACACTGCAGTCAGTTAGACAACAGCAAGGGGAGTAGCAAAACAGGCTGGAAAGCTAATGGTTTACATGACAAATTGCTGTCTGGAAAAGAGACCGGAACATAGATGATGGAAAGATGGACTACAGTACATTGGCACAGAAGAACCACACGAAGAATGCAGTTTTTGGAGCAGCCAGAAGGACTACACAGTAGGAATGACTGTGAGGAAGTTTTCTGACAGCAAAAGGCACCAGAAAAAGGGCCTGGCCAGAGACCCTGTGCTAAAACAGCAGCAGCCACCAAAGGGTTCCATCAGTTCAAAAAAGCAAAAGCAAAACAGACCCAGAAATGAGAATCAGGAAGGCAAAGCCTGCACAGAATTGGGGAGCTAAGCTGCCCACGCCATTTTTCCACATCCCCTCATAAGCTTTACAGAGCAGACACACTGTCTTTGGAATGTATGCTTTGATTGCTAGCATGGCATTCTAAAGCTTCTCCAAAAATGAACTGGATTGTCTCAGTCTGGTTACATAAAAGTACTGAGAACATCTGCACACAGCTAGCAACATACCAGCCCCTTTCTGTCCACACCTGCACATATCACAAGCTCTGAATTAGGACAGCTTGCTATATTAATTCCCTGAAAAGCAAGCTGACCTGAGCTCTTACCTGTTTGCCCATCAGCTCCCCATCCACATGCATAGACTGTGCCTTTCTTGGTTCTAAACAGACTGTGGTCCTGCCCACATACGACCTGCACACAAACAACAAGTCAGAACTTGTCAGGAAAGGTCATGTGTTCAGACGCAATTTAATGAAGCATTACTGGCAAATAAATTTATCAAAGAACCTCTAGAGGGTCCATCAGTTCAGATTTTGACCTTTCTCTCCTGATCAAAGAGCCCTACAGACAGTGAAAGCCAAGAACAGCAGGATACAACAGAGAAAACAGCAGAATTTTCTTTATGGAAAGTGATGCTGCAGTTGATTTGTTCTTGAGATCCAAAACAAGGGAAGAAAGCTCAATTCAGCAGTACAGCACAATAAAACAGCAAAGCGTAAAGAAGAGCTCTCCCTTCCCAGAGTGCTACCACATGGCTCTGCATGCCAGCTAGAAACTGCTATTGATTCCTTGCCATGTAAGCGCTCTAGGAACACAGCTGTTCTCAAATCTACATTTATGTTGAACTAGCAATCATGTCTGACACAGGCTTGGCATGAACTGAAGTCAAGCTCTTCAAAAGCAGACATTAAAAATTAGCCAAAGATTAAAAGGATTTAATCAATAAGTTAAGAGAGTTACTGCCAGTATGAAGCATGTTGCTGCTGTTATGGAAGCACAAACAAGCACCAAGAATTCAACCCCTTGAAAAAATAAAACCATGGCAAGTCCAACAGAAGTTTACAAGCCTAATTCAAAACATTTTTAGGATGTACCATGGCACAGTCTCATCAGGTGGACCTAAAAGAATGACCCTTGTTTGGAACTGGAGCAATGTTTGTCCACAGAGTACAGCTGCAGGGCCACAGACATACTAAGGAACTGCTCCTGTGCCTGGGAATACTGCAGCCATGGCAGGTCTAATAGTAACTGCTGCTGTAACTGTAACTCTAACTGCTGCTCTGCAGTCCCTTGCTCTCCTAAGAACCTGCTCTAGAGAAATGCTGGCTAGTCTAACTGGACAGTCTCACAGCTCATTTTTGAAAAAGGAAAGACAAAAGTCAAACTAAAACAGCTCCCAAGCAATATAAAAGTGCCAAAGTGGAACAAGAAGTCAGGACAGGAAGAGGTGTCAGAATGACTTCCCTGTACTGGGGAGACCAGAATTAGGCACAGTACTCTGAGTGTGGCCTCACCAGTTCTGAGTAGAAAGGAGAAATCACCTCCCTTGACCTGCAGGTAACACTGCTCCTAATGCAGACCAGAGTATTATTTGCCTTCTCTACAGCAAGGGCACAGTGCTGGCTCACAGTCAACTTGGTGTCCCCAGGACCTTTTCCACAGAGTTGTCTCCCAGCCAGTCATCCCAAGCACACGGTGGTATCTGGGTCTGTTCCTCCCCAGGGGCAAGACTCAGCCCTTCCCCTTGCTGAACTTCATGAGGTTCACTAGGCTCCTTTCTCCAGCCTCGGGATGGCAGCACCACCCTCTGGTTCACCAGCCACTCCTCACACTTTCACATCATCTGCTAACCTGCTGAGGGTGCACTCTGTGAGAATGTAAACAGGACTGGACCCACAACTGACCCCTGGGACCAGGCACTCATTCCTGGCACTCAGCTTAACTTTGTGCCCGTGACTGCCACCCTTAGAGCTCAGCTGTTCAATCTGCCTGCAGAGCTCAGGTCAAATGTTCCTCTTACCTGGACAACTCTGCTGTCAAACTCCTTCAGCTGATGAATGAGATGGCTTTCACTGCACACCGAACAACCACCGAGAAGAGAAAAGGCAACACAGAGGATTCAGAGGATTGCAACTGAAACATGCGAAGGTAAACCTGCCAAAAGCCTCTTTATTATTGCCAGAAGGGAGATATGTTCACATGTGGTTCCACTGCAAAATTACTGCAGGAAAAAGGAATGTGATTTTACATTCTCTTATTTAAGAACTGTCACTTTTAAATATAACCTCTTGTGGGAACTAGGGGTGGGAGCAACCCTCAAAGATGGTCCCTAGTCTGGAACAAACACAGACACTACTGCAGCACCAATACAAACACTACACTTAACCAGAGATTAACCCGGTATCTCAGAGCACTGTGCAGTGCCAACATCCTTGTCATTCTTTCACAAGACCAGGAATCATGAACAGTCCAATGACTAACTTCCAGTATCAACAAAGGCTACCTAATTACAGCTACTTTCTCAAACTCTGCAGACCAAGTGTTGTAGATCCCAGAGAAAGCAATGAACAAGACTTCTAGGTCCTGCCAGGCAATCAGAAATTTCCAACATATCCACTTACTCCACTTCCCACTATCCACTTACTCACTGCTATTTTACAGAGCATTTTGAGCATATGCTTTGGTGGAGCCCACAAAAAAACCTATGAAGGACTCCAAGGTAGTTACAGCAGAAACTCAACAAAGGGACTCATCTTTTGTTATTAAATGGCATTGCTAACATCCCTAGGAGCTACACATGTGCTCTGAGCCGCTAAAGGGAACAAGCCTGAGTAGGAACACCAATTACCACAGGCAGTTTAAGAAGGCTGGGGGTTCTCACTAAGGCCTGAGAGAACTGCCCCATGTTGACATCCTTCTGTCTTTTGTGAATGCAGTCAGCAGAGTGCTAGTGCCCAGCGTGGGCTCAAAGCCAGGCTGCTTGTATGACACCTGCAGCACAAAAGCCTGTTCTCAGAATCCTTAATCTTAAATGGCATGCTTATACTACCAGACTCTTCCCATCCTCAGGCTTTTCTGCAGGGTGGTTTTCATGCAACTCTGTTTTTAACATTAGGAAAGTTCAGGATCTTTGAATTCTCACCTGTAAATTTCATCTTCAACAACCTTCCGGCCACACTGTCCATAAGAATTGTTTCCCATTGTGAAAACTGAAAAACAATGATAAAACACATTATTTTTATTACTGTCCAATCTCCTGAAAGCTTCTTTTCCAATCCACAGAATATCTGCACGTGGTTCTCAATCTGAAAGGTGGAGCACAGCCATGGAAAAATTGGCACAAGCTTTCTTCAAAGCAAGTCCACTTGAATTCAAGTGACTGAATCCATTTTCATCAACAACACCTGGAGATATTATTGCAGGCACAGCAGCAGTACCTGGAGCCCATTGGTTGTTTGTCAGGAATTGCCTAGTCCATCCTGCCGTTGCCAAGGAGACTCAGAAATAGATCAGCATTCCCACAGGAGCAGTAAATCAGCCAACCAACAGCTCACCCACCGAGAAGCTGCACTGAATCGCTCCGTGCGGCCCTGAAGCCACTGCACCAGAGAACTCCCAGACATGTGGAAGGACAATTCACAGACAGGATCTTCTCTGCAAAGGGCTATTAATTAATTAATTGATTTTCTAAATGTAGCACTCCAGGACTTCAATGGGAAAGTAACATGGGAGCAGCGGCAAAGTCTTCCAAAGCTGCATTTAAACACACGTCTGAGTGCACAAGACAAACAAGCACTTCAGCTGGGCCTGGGGCTCAATAAACAAACCTAATTTTGCAATACTTGTAGTGAAAAAGTTCATAACACATTTAAAGTATGAGGCAAACAGAGCTTGGGGCTCTCACTCCCTCCCAGCAGCAATCCCACAAAGGCCAACAGCAGCTTCCATCCCATTTACAGTGCAGACAGCCCACATGGGGTCCAGTTCTGAAGGACAGAATACAATCTTTTCTGGAGCTTTTAATAAAAGCATAGTCAGGCATCCTTTGTCACCAGCACAAGCAATACTGTACCTCCTTCACTATCTGTCAGAATCAGGGAATGGGCTCTCCCACAGGACACCTGCAAGACTCGAGTCTGCTGTGGCTTCTCTAGCGGTAATGGAATTGGAGATGGTTCCAAGACATATTCATAGCCCTTAGCTTAAGGAAAAGAGAGAAATTTTAAGTCAGTAGCTTCCACAAAGTATATGCATGTATTTGCTGATCCTGCTATACATTCACACACTCACTCTTGCTTTGTTACAAAAGCAGACATATCTTAGAAAGTCAAGATATTTATCAAAGGGGTTGACTGGGTTTTACCAGGGAGGGAGGGAGAAGCCAAAAGCCATGGGGATGACTGAAGCCAATAATCACTGCCTAATCAAAAGTCCAGCATACCTAGAGGCTGAATGTTATTAAGGCTGCAGGAGACAGAAATAAGAAACTGAGGCTTTCAGCCATATGTTCAACCACTTTGGTGAATAAGGCTGGATTACTAGAGCTTAACACCAAGAACAAACTAAGTACTCTGTGCAACTGGGGATACTGCAAGCAAGGTACAAGAGCATCAATCACAAAAAGCAGCAGGAAATGTGAACAAAAAAAATCTTAAGGCTTCATATTTAAAGAACAGTAGATTAAAGGTCCTTTCAAAAAAAAGGAATGCAAGAAAGACTAGCTAGGCTAGCTCCATAGGGAATAAGAGATCTAACATTTATGAAAGAAAATGACATGCTGTACTTGATAAAGATTTAGTAACTTCAAGAATATGCAATCAGTTATAGCCAACCAGGGTAAATAAAAGAGCAGCAAAACATAAATCAGTACTAGGGAAAAGGTTATGGAGAGATAAAAAGCTCTGGAAAGACTCTCAAAGAAAGTCACTGTAACAAGTGAAATCAAATCCCAGAGGATTCAAAGCAGTATTCTGCTCACATGTAGCAACGCCTTAACTGGTTCTCACTGCCTTCAATACTAAAAAAAAAAAAAAAAAAGCAACAAAAAACCCAGAAAAACTGCACTGAGACAGCCCCAAAGCAGGGTGGCAGCACAAGAGGCTGTGTGTGCATGGCAGATGCCTGCTGGGCAGCAGAGCAGGAGCTGAAAGGCTGCCAAATCTCTGCCTAAAGAGACATGGGAGTCACATAGCAAAAACCCTTCTCCTTTCCCTGTTCCTTCCAGCAGAGCAGCACAGGCTACTGGGATCTGTGGTAATCATCACTGATAGCTGAAGGATTTTGGAGAAAAGAGGCAATAAGGTGGCTAAGGAAGAAGAGGGTGAGAGTGAAATATCAGTATTTTAGATACAATCATCTAAAAGTCAGAAGGTGGCAAATTCCCCTGGAGATGAAACATCTGCAGGGTGTTAGAACTAGCAGGTACCATACTAAGTTTGTAAAACAGTAATGAGCAGCACATGACACAGAGAGCTTGTCTGTGGGACATGGAGTAGTACCAGTCCCACTGATCTGCACCATATTTGCAGCAGATCCAGCCAAACACACTCTTCTTACTTAGCAGGGCTTGACCTGCAGAGTTATTTAACCTATTTCTGGATTCTCTGGCAACAAAAAAATCTTCAGGCCAGATGAAAAATGAGGCAATTACAAGACACTCTTGAGACACTGGCACATACAGAACTTAGACACTGCAAGAGCCAAAACCTTCAAAAGCAGAAGAGAGCAGAGGCTGCTGCAGTTCCTGCCTTTTGCAGCTGCTGTTCAAGCACACATTTGCTGTGTGCACACACTCTTGGGGATCCATCCAGTGTGCCAGGACAAAGCAGCAGCACTAGAGATCTCAGCATGCTGCATTGTACCTGCAATTTTCTTTTGCTTCTCCTCAAAGTTTAACCTTTTGCCCCTATCAAACATAATACACCTTAATGGATTACACTTACACACTATAAAGAGAAAAATTGCTTTTAACATGTTTTTTCTCATGGACGAATGTCTTCAGAGACAGATACTCCACAAGGAAGGTTTGTGTTTTTCCTATCTGTCCTTGGAGGAAGGTGGCAATGTTCTGCACAGAAATCATCATGTTAAGTGAACTTGAGAGCCTGCTGCAAAACAGAATAGCTGAATGACGGTTGTTTTCCTTCAAAATATAACTTGTTACTAAGATAATAAAAAACCCTACAGCATACAAAAAAAATCCATTGCCTGTATAAAAAGAGCTCTGTGGGAAAGAAATTCAGTTTTTAAGTGCAAAGGCAACAGAACTGAGCAAATAATCTTGCCAAAACTGTTTTATTACCTAGCCCCCAACCACTATCTACTATCCAACTATACAACCAACACTCACACTTTGCAGGGTAAACTTACACTCCTGCCTGGATGTAACTAAGTGCAGTGTACAGAACAGAGACATACCTTTACCAATCACAGAGCACAGAATACCACAGCTGAGTGCCAAAGACCTCTAAAAAACAAACCACAGCCCCACACTCTGCATCTAAGCTTCCTGACATTTTTCACACGCTCAAACGTTAAGTTTCCTGTCCCACAGGTATCCTGCAGTGCTACCCTGTAGGTTTGTAAAACACTCTGATCCTTACTTTGATCTCTTCTACTTCTCTGGAATCCAAGCTGAGAATCCTTGTTGAGCCCCATGCCCCACACTTTGGTGATGTCAGTGGTACTAGAAGCCAGCAGTGTGAATCCATAACCACAGGCAGCAGAGGATATCTTTGAAGACAGACAAAACACAGTATTCAGTTAGAAACTGTGGCTTAGAAAAGCAAGTTTCACCCCATGCTATTTGTTCATCAGCATTCACCTTCATTAAGCTACATCCATACATAGCCCAAATTCATGGCATTGATGGTCTTACAAAAATAATCAGAAACATTCTTCCACGATAGGCACAATGGTGCAAATTCAAATCCAACTATTTTGCCTGAAAGTTTTGGTTTTGTGTGCATACATCTTTATCTTTTTGCACTATTTTGGCTCCATTCAAACGTAACAGTCCTGTTTGCTCACCTGCAGCAGCATATTAAAGAAAAAAAAAGCCAACAGGGAGATTATGAGAATAACATTCCCATTTTACTCCTTTGCCAAAGAAAACCCATTATAAAAGCCATATGAGGAGTGGCTGAGGGCACTTGGTCTGTTCAACCCGGGGAACAGGAGACTGCAGCTTCCCAAGGGGCAGTGGAGAGGCATCTCTGACCTCTGCTCTCTGTGATCAGTAACAGGACCTGAGGCAACAGCTGGACTGTGCCAGGAGAGGGTTACGTTGAACGTCAGAAAATCAAAGGATGTTTGGGCACTAGAACAGACCACAGGGCAGTGGTCACGGCCCGAGCCTGACAGAACTCAAGGTGTGTTTGGCCAATGCTCTCAAGCACAGGGTGGATTGTTGGGGTGTCCTGGGCAGGACCCGGAGTTGGACTCGATGATCCTATGGCTCCTTCCAGCTCAGGAGATTCCATGAAAGCTCTGACCTTCTCTGCACTGGACAGTAGAGCACAACGAGGGAAACATGCAGGCATAAGAATAACCTGTTTCAACACAGGCTCCTGTTTGGCCAGGCAAGAGCAGCCCT